TCCTTCCCTGCAGGTGGCGGTATTTATGGAGGCTCACGGGGGTGAGGAATAGGGGCTGCCGGTCCTTCCCTGCAGGTGGCGGTATTTATGGAGGCTCACGGGGGTGAGGAGTTGATGTGCAGCCCGTGTTCTGTGCTGTCTCCTCGCTGTCGGTAGGGAGTTCCCCGGTGCTTGGTTGTGGGAACTGGTGCGGTTAGTTGGAGGAAGGACTGGCCGGTGTCTCGTGGAGCCATGTTTTCTTACGAGTATGTGACGCCGGAGCAGCTGGCGGGGTTCGACAAGTACAAGGTAACCGGGCTGCGGCTCTCTTAAAGGCGGCGGTCAAGCCGTATTTCTGTCGGCTCACTGGGCTAATGACAGCGGCAGTGCTGCACTCCGCCGGTGGACGGTGTGCCAGTGGGGACAAGGGGTTCCCAAGCTCCTCTCTACGGCCCAGCAGAGAATCACTTAAAACAAAGTACCACGGATGCTGGAAATCTGAAAGAGAAGGTGCTAGATAAACTCAGCAGGTTTGGTAGCTGCTGTGGAGGGAGGGAGCAGAGTTAATGTGTCGAGTCCAAAGATCCTTCATCAAACCCCCAGTGAAGAGTCATTCTGCTTCAGTGAAATGATTTAGAAGTGACAAGCATCATATTGTAACATCAAAACGGGTCCTTTAGCTAATGACACCCACTATTTACGTTCCACGTGAGCTTTTCCCACTCTTATCGCCCTTTGAGCTATATTCTAGTTCCTTTTGCTCTCTTTCCCCTCCCATTCTCATTAAATACACTTTGCCTCCACTAGTTCATCTAATAACAGCTTCATGCAATCACTGATTTGGGAAAAGAAGCTTTTCCTGAATTTCTTAAAGGATTTTTTTTATGCTGGTGAAATGGTAGCTCAATGTTCTTGGTTTTAAATGCTATGGAGAAGGAGGTAAGAAACGTGGGGTGGTGGGAAGAGACACTGTTTTGTATTAAGGAATACATTATTTCAGTAACTAGGGAAAATATTTCTGAAAAATTGTTCAATGAAAATTTATGGGTAGTAATTATGAGTAAGAAAGGAGCAATCACTTTGATAGTATTGTATTATAGGCTCTCCCAATAGTCAGAGGGAAGTTGAGAAACAAATATGTGGGAGATCTCAGATATATGTAAGCATAATAAGGCTGTAATAATGGAGAATTTTAATTTTCCAAACATTGACTGGGACTACCATAGTGTTAAAGGTTTGGATGGTAAAGAATTTTTCTTGAACACATTTGACAATTTTCTTTATCAACATGTGGATGCTTCTACTAAGGATGGAGCAAAACTAGATCCTTCTTTTGAGCAATAAGGCAGGGCAGGTGACTGAGGTAAAAGTAGGGGAACACTTTAGGTCTATTGATCATAATTCTATTAGTTTCAAAATCCTTATGGAAAAGGACAAGCCTTCCATAAAAGTTAGTTTTTAACTGGAATAAAGCAAATCTTAATGGTATAAGACAAGACTTTCAAAAGTTGATTGGAGTAGACTGGTTGCAAAAGAAAAGGATGTCTGACAAGTGGGAGACGTGCAAGATTGTGATGTGAGTTCAGAGGCACTATGTTCTTGTTAGAATGAGGAGTAAGGCTGGCAAGGTTAAGAAACAATGGATTAATAAAGATATTGCGGTTCTAGTTTAGAATAAAAGAGAATCTTATTTTTGAAGTTTTTGGCTCAGTGGTTAGCACTGCTGCCTCTCAGCACCACGGACCTAGGTTCAATTCCACCCTCGGACGACTGTCCGTATGGAGTTTGCACATTCTCCGTGTCTGCGTGGGTTTCCTCCTGGTGCTCTGGTTTCCTCCCACGGTTCAAAAATGTGCAGCATGGGTGGATTGGCCATGCTAAATTGCCCATAGTGTCTGGGGACGTTTAGGTTAGGTGGGTTAGACATGGGGGAAATGCAGGGGCAGGTGAATGGGTCTCGGTGGGATGCTCTTCGGAGGGGTGGTGTGGAGTTGTTGAGCCGAATGGCCTGGTTCCTCACTGTAGGAACTCTATGAATAAGAAGATTTGTAGTTCAAGTTGTGGATGAGGTTGTTGACTTGTTTTAGATTATTTAGATCCTATTTTAGATATAGACAACTTGGTTCAATTGAATCTCTTTAATAATGTCCCTACAATCTTTATATTAAGAGAGAAATCAGGAAGACAAACAGGGGATATAATATAGCATAGGCAGATAAAGTTAAGGATAATCCAAAGAGATTCTGCAAATACATTAAGAGCAAGAGGGTAACTAGAGAGAAGGTAGAGCCCCTTTAAAGATCAAAGAGGTCATCTTTGTGTTGAACCCTAGGAGATGGGAGCGATGCTAAATGAATATTTCATATCAGTTTTTACTGTGGAGAAAGAAATGGAATATAGGGAATGTAGAGAAGTAAACTTGGTTGTAAAAGTAGTTCACGTTACAGAAAAGGAAGTTCAGAAGGTCTTAGAATATAAAAATGGATAAATCTCTGAGATCTGATCTAATACACCTCAGAACATTTTAGGAAGTAATGTGGAGGAAATTGAGATGCCTTGCATAAGTATTTGCATCATCTATAGCTACGGGTGAGGTGCCTGATGACTGGAGGGTGGCTAATGTACCTTTAGAAAGATTATAAGGAGAAACAGGGGACCTGTAGACCTGTGAGTCTGACTTCGGTTGTGGGTAAATTGTTGGTGGTGATTATAAAATTTAGAGAGGCAAAAAATTGAGTAGGGATAGTTAGCATGGTTTTGTGCAAGGAAAGTTGTGTCTTTCAAACTTGATTGAGTTTTTTTTTGAGGAAGTTACCAGAAAGATTGATCATGGCAGAGCAATAGATGTTGTTTGTTTGGATTTTAGTAGACTTTTTAGTAAAGTTAGGTCACATGGCATTCAGGGTGAGCTTGCCAATTGGATACATAATTGGCTAAATGATAGGAGACACAATAATAGTGGAGAGTTACTTTTCAGTCTGGACGCCTGTGACCAGTGGTGTTCCACAGCGATCGGTTCTGGGTCCTTTTTTTTTTGTTTGTCATTTATATAAATGACTTGAGTGAGAATATAGAAGGCATGGTTAGTAAATTTGCAGACAACACCAGAATTGGTGGCATTAGACAGTGAAGAAAGTCTCTTTTTTTTTCTAAGATTACAAAGGGATCTTGATCAATGGGTCAATGGACTGAAAAATGGCAGGTGGAGTTCAATCTGGATAAATGAGATATTGCATTTTGGTACAACAAACAAGGGTGGGGTTTATACAATTAATTGTAGGGCCTTGGGTAGTGTTGTAGAAGAGGGACCGAGAGATGCAGGTACATAATTCTTTGAAGTTTGTGTCGCATGGATGGTGTAGTTAAAAAGGCATTTGGTGTGCTTTCCTTGAGTATAGGAGTTGGGAAGTTATGTTGAGGTTGTACAGGACATTGGTGAGGCCTTTTCTAGAATACTGTGTCCAGTTCTGATCGCTCAGTTATAGGAGGGATATAATCAAGCTGGAGAGGGTTCTGAAGAGATTTACCAGGATGTTGTCCAGTATGGAAGGTTTAAGTTATGAAGAAAGATTGGAAAGGCTGGGACTCTTTTCACTGGAGCATAGGAGGTTGAGAAGCAACCTTATCGAACTTTATAAAATAATGAGGGAGTATGGACAGAGTTAATGGTAGTTGCCTTCCCCATAGGATGGGGGATTTCAAGACTAGGAGCAAATTAAGGTGAGAGACTTTTTTTTAGAAAAAAGACATGAGAGAAATTTCTTTACACAGAGGGTGGTTTGCATGTGGAATGAACTCCTTGAGGAAATAATGGATGTGAGTACAACTAGTGTTTAAAACACATTTGGATATGTAAATGAATAGGAAAGGCTGGAGGGAGATGGGCTAGGAGCAGGCTGGTGGGACCAGTTTACTTTGGGATTATGTTTGGCGTGGGCTGGTTGGACCGAAGGGTTTGTTTTCGTGCTGTATGACTGAATGACTCTATCTGGTAACGATGATTGAGTTTTGGATTCTCATACTGCTCAAACAAAAAAAATGGAAACCTATCTGCTGTAACATATTGAACTTGCTGAAATGTTCTTGTAGGTTGTGCCTTTTTTTTTTTTGACCAGAATAGCGAAGGCCTCCGCTTATTCAGATTATTAACTATAGCCTCTCTTGCTTGTTCAGTATTTCCAGTTTTTATAATTTGAAGATAAAATTGGTTATGCCACTTATACAGTGACCACTGTTTACTACATGTTTGGTTTTAATGGTGTCACGCCTGAATTCTATTCATCTGGAAATGTACCCCAGTTTATTTTCCACCTATGATTTTGATCATCGGTGTTGAGACCTTGAAGGAGTTGTGAATCGGAATCCATTAATTCCTTTTGTGCTTAAACTATTTATTTTCAGACAATTTTCCATATTTCTGATCTCCTTATTCTTCCTACTAAGGTGTTAATTTGCCACTTGCATACCCATTCTGATTATTCGTGCCTTTTAGTTATTTTTTGGTTGCCTTGTGAGAAGGCCACTTTCTTGTATCTTTGGAGGTGTTAACAATGATCTGGTTTGAGTGAACACACCCGAGTATGATCTGCATATTGAAACTCTGGACTGAAGTTGGAGACACTTCTCCTCTCTTTTGGTTTGTTTCAAAGGTAGTGTGGATTGGACAGTTTGGTCTGCTCTGTGGATTATCTACCCATGTGTAATTCACTGGATGTGAGGTGTCTTGTAGCACACTAGAATGGAGATGGGAGTTTGTGCAATGAGACAGAAGCTGTTCCAACCAGCTCACCCCGTATAGATCGATTAAGATCCTGGAAAATATGGACAGTTTTCAAATCTTGAGTTCTCGCTTAAGGCAGGCGTAGAGGACAATTAATCATTACCTACAATGTGCCAGCTCGGGAAAATTGAGAGAAAGTGTCTGAGAACCTGTCAAGACAAGAATCTGTGTCCCTCTGTCCTGAAATAGTCAGTGACCCTTCCTCCACTGCTATCTGGGGAAGATAATTCCACAGACTCGTGAGCCTTAAATGATTTCTCATGTCTGTCTTTTTAATGGGAATCATAAGAAATTGGAGTAGAATTAGGCCACTTGGCCCATTCAGTCTGCTCTGTCATTCAATCACGGCTGATATATTTCTCAACACAGACCCAGAAGTTGCAAAAATGATGTGTGGAAAAAGTGGCATTGGAGATAATGTTAGCATAGTTGGAGGATTCTCTGACTAATAAAGTTGAGAGAACCTGGGTATTTTCAGGCTAGCAACCTATAACTAATGGTGTCTCACATAACTTGTACATTAATGACT